ACAATTCTTCTTCAATTTGAAAAGATTTTGCTTCACCTGTTAATATTCTATAGATTTTCTTCATTGTTTGGAAGCCAGTGTAATAATGAAAATTGATAAAAAATAGTAAAAATTGGAAAAAATTAACAAAAAACTTTAAAAAATGCATTAAAATGCAAAATACGCCCCAAAATTTAAGGAAAAATGCCCTATAAATCTAAAAAAATGCTCTAAAAGACAAAAAATGTCCAAAAATGCATAAAAATGCAAATGTCATCAAAATCCGGGCCTTAGTGATAAGTGATTACTCTAATTCGAAATTCAAGCATCGTAACATCATATTAAAAATGTTTTTTTTCTTTTTTAAATCATGCAGAACTTTATAGCAATAACCGTTGAAAAAGCAATCAAAACACAAAATAGACTTACAATGAAATCTGCACAGATTGAGCGCATTAAAAAGTGAAGACTCAAAAGTGCAATTCAAAATTTTCACATTTTTTTAGTTTTTAAGAAAAAGAAATTCATTGTGTTCAGAATCTCGGGCAGGCCGCAGGTTGTCAACCCAATTTATGCTAAAAAAAAACATCTCTAGGAGCACAGAAAAGTCTCCCAATAGTCTCCTTTTCCTGAAAATAGTTGCTTTTTTTTAGCCTATTCAAGCAAAAAAAGTAGCAATAGTCGCCTCAGGCCAAAAATAGTTGCAAATAGTTGCATTTTAGTCGCCTGTGGCAACCCTGTAATCAAGATTCATACAAAATCAACATGACATATAAAAAAATGAAAGAAAAAGTAATACATATAGTCTTTAAGTAAACCTTTAAATATCAAAAAATATTCTATTTACGGATGTTTTAAATAAGGTTTACATTTTTAATTTCACTTATTTAAAAATTTAAATGCCTCTGCAGTATATTTACTTATTTATAAATATAAAAATTAATGTCTGCCTGTTTGTCATTTATAGACACCTAAACCATCCAAACGAGAGAAATGAAATTTGGCATATTGTTTGTTAGAAGCACAGAGAAGGTCACTGTCGACATGAGAACAGTCTACTACAAACTGCTCAAGCTGGAATAATAAGATGGAATTTAGAGAAGAGAAAAATACTACCCTACATTAACATTGAAATAACACTTTCAGTTTTTGACATTTTTTTAAATTTCTCAAGAAATAAAAATATAATTATTTCATAAATTTAGAGGTGTTTAGGTCAAGCTATTTTTCATACTTATCAATAAAGTTTAAAGATTTCAGAGGTTTGAGAGACTGGCAATAAATTACAAACAAAAAAAGTGTTTTTGAAGATGTCAGAAACTATAGCAGTAAACTAGTATCAATTACTTTATTATATATAATAATTGCATAAAATTTTGCAAGCTTATCTTAAATATTCATTGAGGTAGGGATATACTAAAAAAATTAAATAAATAATAATTTTGTTATCTCAGGCTTTTTTGCTATAACTTTAAAAAAAAATGGTGCAATTTTAAATTAATAACAAAATTATCTTTGCAAAAAAAATTCATTAGAAATTATGCAAGATATGAGCATATAGAGTAGTACCTTCAATTGTGTAAAAGATATTTTAAAATATTTGTTTCATAATTTTGTTGTGAATCATATTTGGTAATTTATGAAAGAAGCCTGTTTGAATATCTTAAAAATATAAAAAATTTTAAGCAATTTTTGGCAAATTATGAAGAAGAAAAAAACCCTTAATGATAAGGGCTTTTTTACAAATTACTTTTCACAAGAATTATATATACCCTAAAATGTTTTTGGGGTTTCTATCTTACAGTATATTCTATTTCGCAGGGCATAAATTACAAAATTTTGAAAATATGTAGAAAAATTTTCAGGAAATATTAAATCATTAAAAAACTTAACATTTGATAGTCATTTCAAGAATTATTAGCAGTTAAACTCGTAGGGAAAAAAAAATGGAAAACAAGTATTTTGAGTAAGGTCAAAAGTGAAAAGTTGACTGAAGATATATTAAACTACTTACCTTAACAAAATGTTCAAGCAAGTAGCCCGCTTCTAAATATTTCCTTTTGTCTTTCAACCTCTCTAAAAAAATTAATAATAATTTTTCTTACACAATCTGAAATGATATAAAATGTACAAACACAAAATAATTTTCAAAATTACTTACTCAGTCAAGTAATTTAAAACAGTTATAAGTAAAAAAAAATTATAAACAGTAAAAACTACAGAAACAGTTATAGTTAAAAAAAATCATTAAACAAAAATTAATTCTGTACTCAAAAAATGTTGATCAACCTACCTACTATGTACTGACAAGTTCCCAGAACTTTCTGATCATTGTATTTAAGTTTATAAGCAAGATTTAAGGCTTCTTTCCAGTTCGCACTTTCTCTATAGGCTTTAAAAGCAAATTCATCAGCTTCAACTCTACTGAACACTAAACCAGCCTCATCATGATAGCCTTTGCTTTCTAGGTACATGCCATACTCAGTCCATATTGTCTAGAAAAGAAGAACTATGTCATTAAAAAAGTAATGAAGTATGCACGAGTATTAAAGAGTCAAAATATAAACTGTGATGTGCAGTATTCAGAGCTAATGAGCTGTAAGTAAAGAAATTTCATTTTATTTTATAACTGTCGCTGAACTGCCGACCCAATTTCATGGGTTTACGACTACTAAGGTTCAACTCTGTAGCGTTGTAATTTTGAACCCAATCCAAAAGACAAGAGAACTCCTGGATCGAGTACTGGGAGAAATTTTTGTCATTGTGGAGGACTTTTTGATGGAGCTAACCCGCATTTGCGGTACATGGAGAGGAAGACCACGAGAACCTCCCACGGTTAGCCTGACAGCAAGGGGACTCTAACCCATGATCCGTCTACCACTGAGGATATTTCACGTCAGCACTGTGGTTGGTGCAAGGCGGATGCGTAATTTGTATCAACTGGGATTCGAACCGGTTCGCCTCATTGGAACGCAAATGCTCTATCCCCTGAGCCGTTGCGGCTCAAGTAATGAAATTGTTGTCATTACTTTTTTCGTAGTTTGTAACGCAATTTTGAAAAAATGTAGTAGTGAGTAGCACAATACAGAAAAATAATAATAAATACGCTGGTTTGTAACAATGCCGTGCATTTACTTATTGTTATTTTGGTAAAGGAACAAGGTTCAAACGAAACTAGTTATTTGAATCTGATTGGCATAAATCTTAAGTGAGTCCATTGGAGAGAGAGAGAGCGTATTAGTGAATCCATATTAGGGATGTCCCAGATGTACTTAATTTAATTTTTCTTAATAAGTTAACATAAGGGTTAAACATTTAACAAAATCTTTGATAATTTTAGAGCATTTCTTGAAATAAATATTCTCCCAAGAAGTGGATAATAAGTTGGAGGTTGAAAAAATAAATTTGTAAGAAATAAAAAGGTTCATTTATTATTCTAAGCTCCTTTATACATTTTTTGTAAAGTAGCTTTAGTTAACTGCAAAAAATGCATTTTTCTGCCTTTCTGAACATTGACCTCAAATTGTGTACAGTAATCACATGTAAAAAAAATAAAAAAAATCTTTTTTTTTTCTGGTTAGTAATGACAAGTAGGGCAATAACAATCGACAACAAACAAAAGGTAAAATACATTACATAAAATATTAAATGCATGCAAATAGATGTGAGGACTCAAATAAGAAATATATAAATAAATATAATTTCATTTTCTAATATTGCCAAATAAAAAATAAAACAAGCTTCAAGTTCAAATAAAAAAAAAAGTTGTTGTTGTTAATTTACGTCGCACTAGAGGCACAATGGGCTATTGGCGAGGGTCAGGGAAACATCCCGGAGGATGATCCAAAGACATGCCATCACAATTTTGATCCTCTGCGGAGGGGGTGGCACCCACGCTTCTGTAGCCCGACGACCTGCCCGCGAAGTCGACCACTTTACGGTAGCACAGTTTAACGAGGACCGATACCGCACACCCTCGGTCCCTACGCAGACTGATCCAAGTGGTCACCCACACGCACACTGACCGCAGCCAGTGATGCTTGACTTCGGTGATCTGCTGGGAACCGTGTCTTAACCATCAGTCCACTGCGGGACAACAACAAAAAAAAAAAAAAAAAAAAAAAAAAAAAAAAAAAAAAAGAAATTTTTATCAGTTAGAGTTTAACATATAGGAATAAGTATTTTAATATTTTTTGTTTTACGTATTTTCAGTTTGAAACAAACAAGAGCTTTTAAATTCGATGGAATTTGGGATAGAAAGGCATTAGTGGTTAAGACTAGTTTCGATCAGTCTGTAGACAACATTATGAACTGAAAATCAAGAGAATTTTATAAAAAATTTATATCAGATACAAAGATTTTATTAATCAAAAACATTGAACATTTGAGACAATTTACTTTATTTTCCTGAGAAG